ATCTGGCTGAATCGGCAATGTATCTCGCATTTCCGTGTGGTGTTGTCAGGTTATATTTATGCTCTTCTTTATTTTGTTTTATTATTCATTATTGTCTTGTTGTTTGGGCATTTGAGCAAATTTCGGTGCTGATTAGTCGCAAGAAAGTCATAACTGTAATTTTTTGAGTGCTTTCGGATTACTCATCTCGTTAGCAGTAAAATTGGGCTCAACTTTAGGTGACCTGTGTTCAGTTGCGTTGAGTTTGAATTCGGGATTCAACTATTGTTGTGCTTGAGTGATTTTATTGTGAGAACGTTTAATTGGATTGGTGAAAGTAATCGAAATAATTTAGAGGTGCACTCTGCAATATCGGTATACCCTCACTGGTCACATCCTCAGTGGAGTCGTTGCCTGCAGTTAAATTTCATGTTCACGTTCAACAGAAACCGTGACGGACATTAATTTCTTGTATTCTATTCTGTGGTATTGTATATTCAGATTTGTGTAAGTATATATTATAAGTTATTGAGATTTATTGATATTTAGAGGGATATACTTTGATTTTTCGTCGCTGTTCATTCCGTTTACCAATTTTTGCACTCATCGGGGAAGATTTGAGCTGGTGAAAACTTTTTTTGAATGAATTGATTTAAATCGGCTNACTCATCGGGGAAGATTTGAGCTGGTGAAAACTTTTTTTGAATGAATTGATTTAAATCGGCTCATAATAAATGTGTTTCGATTAGTGAAAACAATATGAAAGTTGATAATTTGTTTCAGTCAAAGAACTGTGATATATTTGTTATGTTATTGCAATTGATAGAGTTGTTATGATCAATAATGTTCGATCACTCACATTATTAAATAATGAAAGGAAAGAATAAAAGCATTTCATTCTCTGAGATCCGTTTGCAATGCATCTTATTGCTTTGATATCCAGCATTTTTAAACATATATCTGAATGATTTTTAGTGATATATTGATGAGCATTTGAAAACAAATATGAGTTATTATATTAGTCCTTAAAGAGTTTGGAATTGGGAGAACTCTTTGGAATTGAGTTGAAAATATGGTTTTGTTGAGAAGAAGAGGACTCAAATGTACTTCTTTAAAGTCCCTTCGATCGAGTCGTTCGCTACAGAATCACATTTGTGATCGTTTGATTTCAGATAGTTTCAGTAGCAAGGAATGAGCAGTAAAATTAAATACATTGGTAACTATGATGTGACCGCTGAAGGTAAATTTCTATGGGAGTTGCTCTGTCAAACACGTCAACTGGGTGTTGGTCGCTTGGTAACAAAAAATGAATGGGCTCGTAAGTGGCCACATCAACCATCTTATTTACGTATAGTTAAGGTTGTATTTATTTGTTCATTCGTTTCAGATTCATCGCTTTCTTAAACAGCCATTTAAGTTTTCTTAATGCAGTAGTTAATGTCAAACTTTAAATTCGCTTGATGGAGAATAATAATAAAGAGACTCTTGCTGAAGACTTCTCGTCATGTTAACAATAGGTTATCGACATCATTTCTTATCATTTCAACAGATAATAAGTTAGAAAATTATTTTTCAATGCATTCATACCGAAACGGTAATTCATTGGTTTCATTGTTAAGGCTCGTCCACAAATGGATCGCTGGTTATATGGTGGAAGCGTATGG